GCACATAACAAACTACTTCATGTCTTTAAAGATCGTTGTATCATATCTACTCTCTGTGAGTTCATTATTGATTAAACTGCCCGTATATCAATCAAAAACAAAAATGGGTTCTTATGGATGAAAAGGTGTATGATGTTAAGCTGAGAATGCCAATATTTTTATTTTAACATTTTAGATGGCAGTGCACCGACAATTGACAGACAACTTCTTGACGTGCAGCATCTGCATTGACGTCTTTGATGACCCCTGTACACTCGTGTGTTATCACACATTTTGTCGGAAATGTGTCGTTAGCTACACTAAAACCAGACCAGAAGCCATCAGTGCCAAGTCTCTCCTCTGTCCATTCTGTCGAAAGATGACCAAACTAGCCAACTCAAACAGGCCAGTTGAAGAGTGGGCACAGGAGGTGAAACCCAGCTTTTTGATTCAGGGTCTCTTGGATTCATTTAATCCCAAGACAGAAGGTATTTCCAAATAGGCTACCAGTGTTGAACTCATCCTAACATAGCTACGTTCTTCATATCCCTGGTTTGTGAATTCCTCGTATGTACATTGAAAAGGTTAAAGGTTATTTCGTAATATTATAATTCTATTGTTGAAAAATAACTGACACATTTGTATGTATACTTGCAGATACCCCGAAGTGCATCCTATGTAGTGATGAAGGAGCGGCACCTCCAGCCACTGCTTGGTGTGCTGACTGTGACATCAGTCTTTGTGAGGGATGCCAGAAGGCTCACAGACGTATTCCTGCCACTCGTCACCATGACGTATCTGACCTGTCCACAGAGGTCAAAATCAACCAAAGACGCAAACCATTCTGTAAGCAACATCCAGATCAAAGCATGCAGTTCTACTGCAAAGATTGTAAGAAACTGCAATGTCAATCCTGTTGCATCCTGTATCACAGAAAGTGTGAGGCAATTCTACCGTTTGAATAAGTTATGCCAGAACTGATCAGCTGTGTTACAGGAGTTAAGGAAAGACTAGCGTCTCATTTACAAGCAACAGACAGTTTGCTAACAGATTTAGAAACCAAACGGACTGAGGTAATAAAGAACAGAGTCACCGTTCAGTGTCAGATCCGATCCACAATCCAGACAGTCACAGAAGCCATAAAGAAGAAGGAACGACAACTCCTGGACCAACTGGATGACGCCACTGAGAAACACATCGAGCGACTGAAAACTGAAATGAAGTCTGAAGAGATGGCCAAGCAGATGATAAGTCATCACTCTGTGATGATAGACAGAGCTCTGGAGTCTGGAAGTGAAATGGACATCTATGAGATGTACCTGTGGTGTGAGTCAGAGGAGTTTCCTACAGTATACGACCCAGATTCAGATATAAAATATAAACTGAGAGAGAAAGTATGTTTTAAGCATGATTGTGAAGAGATCTGTAACAATATACACGAGGTAAGCTTTGGTGAAATTGATACCATATAGGAAGATGTGTTTGATTCTACATCGACATCAGTTCTGCACGACACAGTGGACGTACAAACAAAAGATGAGACAAGTTTACCTCATGTTTATGACGTGGCAGTGTTCAATGAAGGCGGTACAGACACCATAGTTGTAACTGATAATAACAGCAAGTGCGTCAAATCCTTCTACACACGCAATACTCAACCCTGTCAGAGTAAGCTCTCTGTTCAGAGCCCCCCTCGGCGGATTGCAAAACTTAATGCCCATCACATGGCTGTGACCCTTCCCGAGACAAGGGAGATAATACTAATTGAAGTGAAACCTGACCTTGTTCTTCAATCATACATTTCAACAAGGAAGAAGTACTTTGGTCTGACGGCCCTGACACCGACTACCCTGGCAGCAGGATCCGGGTCGCCTCCCTGTGTGGACATCCTGGACATGGCGGGGAATGTGTTGAGGACGCTGAATCGTGTCACAGATGGGGGAATCCTTGTATCAGATCCTTTATTCCTATCTACCATCAGTCAAGGTTACATCCTGGTGTCATGCAGTCATGCCCCAAGAAGTCATGTGCTATGTATGACACCAAACGGAGATGTTGTGTTTAATTATGTACCCACAGGACCACATCGAGCAATGAATCCATGTGGCATCACTTGAACAAACACAGGTGACATGCTTGTTGTTGACGACATGTCAAACAAAGTGGTTCATTTGAGTAGTTCAGGCACATGGTTGAGAGACGTACTGACGTCAAGGGATGGCATCACTTTCCCTTATGGTCTGTACTTTGATAAGCGAAGGCGTCTGTACGTCACCAGCCACCACTGTGTGATGGTCTACAGGTTCATAACACGCACCAAACCAAGATGTACATGAAGGGTGATCTCGGTGAATGAACGAGTGAATGATTTTGTATAGGTCTCACTTTGAATAGTGTTTCAGTTATATAACGAGATTGAGAAACACAACCAGTGTGATGCCAATGTAGGTGTGTTTACTCCTACTTCCGTGGTCCGATGACTGTGACTGTGTTCGATTCTGATGATATGATGATGATAGATGCACAGGGGGCGCAAGGACATTGTTATGAAACAATATGTTCACGAAAAAATAATTTTTTTAAGGAAAAATAAAATCATTTTGTTCAGCTGTGTCCCCTTTTGTATTGACATGTGCATAAAAACTATAATATTTACAGTGTTGTTTAATTTTTCCATTTATCGCTCGGTTGTTATGACGTGATTCGATTACTTCCATTTCTTTTATAAGGGGATAAAACGAGGCTGACAGGTTGGACGGTAGGTTGATTAACGTCGCACTCAACACTCTTCCAGCTACAATACGGCCGTTTGTAGGTCCAGTGGGTGAGTGCGGCGATAAACAACAAACAAACAAACAAATCACTAATACCTCACGAATCTGTATCCAACGGAGTCAAACTGTCACGTCAAAATGAGAAAGCTTCATTTCTTCATAACACCTTAATATATCAGTTACTTATTGCTACAGTTTACTGTTTGTTGGTTGGTTGGACGGTAGGTTCATTAACGCCGCACTCAACACTCTTCAAGCTACAAGACGGCGGTCTGAAGTTCCAGTGATTAACATCATGACCATCAATCGATTGGAATACGGTGATATGCATCAACCAAGTCAGCGACCCTGACCAACCGATCCCGTTTGTCAACTCATACGACAAGCCTGGGTTTCTGAAGATTCAAACACAGATCTTCCTGAAAACGCGGGTGAGGGTGGTCGTAAAGGAGGGGTAGACTAGTAGTTAAAGCTTGGCTTGTCTCGCCAGAGGCATGGGTCCTAGTGCCCGCATGGATACAATGTATAAAGCCCATCTCTTTATCTGCCAAAGATTAAAACAGTTGATGACGTCACTGTTGTTCCCGACAACGAAACACGGGTGAAAACTGAATCATAACATCTCGCATCGAGAGTCAAAACAGAATCGGAGACAAAGCAATAAACACAAATACCCCTGGTAAATCAAATGTGAAATTACAGAATGGACATTTTCATATATAATTGGTGACCTTTTCATTGAAACAGAGCTGCCATTAGAGAAACTACAGCCTGCTTCTACGCGGATGTCGCACTTGCATCTATAGGTTTAGCAATCTTAATCACAAGTCTCTTCTGCGCCAAATAAACGATTAAAAATAAGATACGAAATCATTTGCCATTTACATTTGTATGATCTAGACATAATATTATTTCGAGAACAGAGACATATATGCTATGTAGGATTCTGTTGGCAATTCACGTTACATCCGTAACCAACAATTACTGTTTTACGGATTGAAACAAACTGATAATTTCGAGAAATAACCTTTGGGCAACGAGGAAGTACTGTTATCTGTCCCCAGTGGTATATAGTGAGTTCAGAGCCTTGGCGAGGTACCAATACTGTCCATGAAACGGATCTGTGAACTATTTTCCATATTTCTGATAGATAACCACGGCATTCACGACTGTTTCGTGAGATTATAAGTTTGTCGGCAGTGTTGTGGTCGCTCAGATTTTCTAAACTTGTCCTTGGATGAATGAACAAAACAGCATCAATATATATGGAAACCATATGCATTTGTAAGTAACGGGGTCACATGAGATTTTAACCGCCATTTCTCCCTTCACATCACACAGCGTTAACTGATGTTTGTTACAAAGACATGCGTCGCGTTCCACGAAAACAACCAAGCGCTGAAACGATCCCTTTTCACATCGTAGAACGGGTTCCATAGTGTTGTGGTGTGTGTTATGTATTCATTTAAACAAGAAAGACAATCTGTACAAAGGTAGTGACAGCATTTTTATTATGACAGAAATGTAAACACACGGATATGCATGTACATGTTAACAAATACACTTAAACTGACAGGAAGTGGTTAATGTTTTAATTATCAGAGTTTTATTGTTTTTACAAATATATAATTATATACTTCACGGGGCAATAAGGCTTTAGTTTTCAGCAGTCGCCCGAAATCCGCCCTCCCCTCCCCTCCCTGCTAACTTAAATATACACGTAATACATGCACATTCAATAGCGGAATATTTGTTTGACGGGTGACAATTCCAGTTCTATGCATTCATTGTTCACGTACACCACATTGATGTCTCCCAGCTCCACATCAATGTCAGACACAAACATCGCGAACACCTGGTGTGGGCACATTAAAACTGCGCACCCCCAACCACTGTCTCACATAATAGTTCTTAAACGTTCTTCTTTCTTTTAAGAAGCAGAATCGGTGCACTTAATTCGTAGGTTAAAATTAACGGGTGACAATTCCAGTTCTGTGCTGGCAGAACAGGTGCACTTAATTCGTAGGTTAAAATTAACGTATCGGTTTTATTAGTTTCACGGAGCAGTTAATGCACTAAAGTGTCACTGGATATTCTGGTTCATCGATCTCTTGATTGTCTGGTTTGTTTACAGGCCGCCGTCTCATGATACGAGTACAGCTATGCCGCGTCAGGGACAAATACTGCTTTTGTCATGAAAATTGTGTGAATGGCGAGTGCTACCGATAGGGCCGGACATGCTTACCCGCGAACACCTGGTGTCATCACTCAATATCACTGGTCCATCCATATAAATTTCATAACTATTTTGCACTTTACGTCAAATTTTAATCTGTTTCGGCGGACAGTCTAAACTGATTGTTCTCTTGTATTGGAAATTCACATTTACATAAACAATAGTCAATCAGATGGTGACGGATTCTATCAGGTACAATCGTTATGCTTCCACATCTTAGGTGTTTCTTGCAAATCTGTAGATCTTCACACAGTGACCATTGGTGACATACAGGTGCTGACTTTCACACAGGCAGAGACTATACGGAGATGTAATACCATCACGTGACGTCAACACTTCCCTCACAAACGTCCCAAAAGCGCTGAGTTGAATCACACATTTTGCATTTTCATCTATAACCAGGATATGTCCTGTGTTGGTTTCAGTGATTCCATGAAGGAAATTCCACGTCTGTGTAGGCTGATACCTGAACACAACATCTCCGTGAGGAGTCAGACAGAGGACACTGCCAGCTCCGTATTCCCCGCAAGACACGAGGATGTTACCCTGCCTGGTGGTACTGAGGAACCAAGGATTTGATACAAGTCTCTCTCCATCTGTGACAGGATCCAGGGTCCTCAACACATTCCCCGCCATGTCCAGGATGTCCACACAGGGAGGAAACACGAATCCTGCTGCCAGGGTTGTGGGTGTCAGGGATGTCAGACTGCAGTACCCCTTGCTTGTAGAGATGGATGATTGAAGAACCAGCTCAGGCTTCACTTCTACTATTATTATTTTCTTAGTGTCAGGGAGAGTCACAGCCATTTTATTGTTGTTTAATTTTGCAATGCGTCGAGGAGCGCTTTGTACCCCCAGCTTACTCTGACATGACTTCTTGTTTCTTTCGTAGAAGGATTTCACACACTGGTTGCCATCATCTGTGACAACTATGGTGTCTGTGTTGTCGACAACAAACACTGCCACTTCAAGAGCAATGGGTTTCTTCTCATCATCTTCTGCCTGTATGTCCACTGTGTCATACAGAACTGCTGTTGATGGAGAATCAAAAACATCTTGAACAATGATATCAATCACACCCAAGTGTAGATCGTTTAGTTTCCCACACATCAGATGACGATCGTGTATGAAACAAGCCTTGCCCCCAGATACATCCTCCATAGCTGACTCCGGGACACACACAGTGGCTGCCTCCTCCGACTTACTCCACAGATACATCTCACAGATGTCCATGTCACTCTCAGACTCCAGAGCTCTGCCCAGCAACTCCGAGTGTTGACGAATCATCTGCCTGGCCATCTCCTCACGCTTCATGTCCCATTTCAGCTGTCCTATTTGTTTCCCTGTGACATCATCTATTTGTTCCAGGAGTTGTCTTTCCTTCTTCTTTATCAAATCAATGGCGGTCTGGGCTGCTGATCGGACCTGAGACTGAAGGCTTGACTTGTTCTCGTTAATTTCAGTACATTGTGCTTCCTTCTTTGCAAGGCGAGTGTTTGATGTTGCTAAATCAGAGTCTAGTTTCTGTTTTAGAGATTGAAGAGTGTTTTGCATCTCAGGCAACACAGATTCAAGTGAGACAATGGACTCACACTTTCTGTGATACAAGATGCAACACGATTGACATTGTAGTTTCTCACAGTCCTTGCAGTAGAACTGCATGCTTTGATCTGGATGTTCTTTACACATAGGTTTGCGTCTTTTCTTCACCTTGACATCCCTTGACAAGTCAGATACGTCATGGTGACGGGAGGCAGGATTACGAACATGGGCCTTAAGACATCCACCACACAGCGAGACGTCACAATCAGAACACCAAGATGTAGCCAGAGTTGCCTCCCCGTCATCATCACACAAGTTGCAGTTATTTGTTCCTAACAAGACATATACATATGTATTATGTTGACATGGTTTATATCTAAGGTTGTTTACAGAGAAATATAGGTTCTATTAGGATGCACAGAAAGTGCTTCACATGAATAGGAAATATGAATATAAGAGCACCTATTTGCGTCATCTTTATAAAGACATTTATCCTTTCCTTTATCAGTACCCATTTAAGGGGCACCAGTGACGCAGTCTTCTAAATCTGCATGTCTGCATCCCTCAAATCCCAGAGTCGCCCTCGTTATGTTTCATGGTATGTCGGTACCATTCTTGTGCTCGTGGGTTTCACCAAAGTGACATTTGACATCGGATCGAGTTTTCCACACATATCAAACTGACACGCTATGCTATAACTGGAATAATCAAGTACGCATTTCACGTTTAGGTTGGTTCATTTTGGTTTTCCAACATAGAAAATACAGTACCTGTTAAAAAGAATGTACCCATGAACTGGTAATAAAAAACCCTACAAGCAGCACTCGTCTTTAAAAGCTTAAAGGTCATTCTTGCGAAGACATGTTAGAATATCACTAAAAATATAATTGTATGAACTTGAAAATCACAAAATTAAGTTAATACAACAATGAACTGAAAATTGTGTTCGTATGCAATAATAAAGGCGTTAATATTACGTGGCATTGTGACTAGACAAGGTCAATAACATGACTTCAAAATCATGAGAATCAATAATTTGTCTCAGAAGCAAACGTGAAAATATGTTAGAGGATTGACTGCAGGTCTAATGGTGTGCCACTGAAAGAAATGACAGAGATATTCAAGTAATGTTAGGACAACAACGAGTCTGTCATAGATGGGTAAATACTGTTGTCTGTGTTGAAGATGAATTAAAACTATATGGATTGAGTGGAAGTCCAACCACCATGGTCTCTGGTGTATGCTTATACCTTGACTGCAGGAAGCGAAGGAATCCAAGAGACCCTGAATCAAGAAGCTGGGTTTCACCTCCTGTGCCCACTCTTCAACTGGCCTGTTTGAGTTGGCTACTTTGGTCATCTTACGACAGAATGGACAGAGGAGAGACTTGGCACTGATGGCTTCTGGTCTGGTTTCAGTGTAGCTAACGACACATTTCCGACAAAATGTGTGATAACACACAAGTGTACAGGGGTCATCAAAGACGTCCATGCAGATGCTGCAAGTCAGGAAATTGTCTGTCAATGTCTTGTGCATCGCCATCTGTAATAGTAAAATATATTTATGAACAAACAATTTTAGATTTTGACCCTTTTGTGAATTACATATTTTCAGTTGAGGTGACGTGAAAGATTTATCATCATAATTTTAAGTAATGACTTGTCCAGCTCCAACAAAGCCAATTACTACACTAACACTGAGACAGACTAATACATCGTCTTTGAAATATTTTATTACACATAACATTTCTCTCTTCTTAAATAAAAACAATTAATTTTCCTAATGCTGATTTCATAGGGATTGTTAGAGCTGGCTAGAACTGTTTTTATATAAAACTAGATAGGTTTTGTTTTTATAAAATACATATATTCCACAGTCATTGTGCAGGACCATATTCAAGACTACTTTAATAGTAGAACATTATCTTCTAATTGTAATTTGACATAAGTTTGCTATCTTTTTCTGGACTCCGTTATAGCTCACGTGATTTATTTATTGAAAGTGGCATTGTGCAAATATTTTAAGAGAACTTAGATATTGTACAAGTGGCAACAAATGATGTCAAAATGTATAATACGTTCAGAAAATAGTATCTAAATCACTAGTTTTACCACAATGGAAATGTAAACAAATTTTGCAAAATATTGCACAGAATCCATAATAATATATTTGGTCATTTGTTATGCTCTGAGAACTTGTAACAACCCGGCCTTTGGCCTCACCCGTATCATGAAAACATACTGATTGATTTGTTGACTGATTGGTTGGTTGGTTGGTTGGTTGGTTGGTTGGTTTCAGGACATCGCAAGTTTACGACAAGTTTCAGTATTGTGTAACACCCCATGCATGAACCACCGCTAGCACAATCATGTTGAAACGTCCGTCAAATGCTTATATATGGCCATGACTCATTCCAGTACATTTGCATAACGAAAGTAGAATCTTTTATTCTTTTGGCTGACCCAGGGAGGGGTGGGGACGTCCAAGGTCCCCCTCCTCTTTCTTTTAAAAACAAATTGTGTAGGCAGTAAACTTATCTGAACGAGGATTTGGATATGTTGGACCCCTCCCCAGAAATGCTTGATCCGCCCTTCTATTCTAGGAACAAATGGGCTCGTGCAGCATAAATAACACTGACATCTGTTACTTTAATAAAAACAAGTTTTGACAATGGATCTGGATCTATATTGCTGACACTTTGCTGATGCAACGTTCAAAATATACTATAACTCAATCTTATAATACAGCACACGCAGGGACCATACGACCATGTACAACCAGGAAGTATGAAGCTATTTTCACACCTTCCATATACCTGTGGCACGTCACACTCATCAAGTATATACGGGACGTCACACTCGTCAAGTATATACTGGACGTCACACTGATCAAGTATATACGGGATGTCAAACAAACTTGCATGCTGCCAATGGTCCCATTACCTTTAATTGTCAGTGTTTTAACCTCTCATTCTTCCAGTCTGCCCGACGCCATGTCGACTGTGTCCAGGCGTGTCGAGGGGCGGGTATGCTAAACTGGTATGCGTTGTCTGATGCGCACATACTGGTAACCAGTCTAGTCACTGCAGGTGAAACACTGATCGCGACTGACATGCAGGGACGCGTCCAGTGTATACTCCACAACAGTGTTTTGTTTTCCTGATGTTTGTTTTTGTCGTCTATTTATTGTTTATCAGTGTATCTGTAATTTATTGAACTATTTGAAAGAATTGACTTATTCGATTCCGATATGATCATCCTACATTTCCTATGCATGAATCACATGAGTCAAAAGTAATGTAAAGGATATTTGATTCCATTCAGTTTGGCTTAGTTCCCCACTAGGAGCTCAGTTGTGTAAGGCGCGTAATAGACTGTGCAGAGTTGCTTCCCTTAGACCATACCTGATGTCGTCATTTCGGGTCACAGATTCGCCCTGATTGTTTCTAGGGTTGTCAGCACCATACCTGTGCACGTGGGTTTCACCACAGTTGCAAACGTCTATTAACTACATCGAGTCCGACCACAAACACTCTGCCGGCGTGATGTAACTAAAAAAAAGAAAATACTGTTAATTAAGCGCTGTTAAAGTCTTTCAGCGAGTGAGTTTGGGTAAACTTTGAAAGCTGTTTCAGTTAAACAGGTGGGGAAATTACAGGCACGGGAAGGTGCGGGCAGCAAAAACATCATAATCAAGGCAAAGCTGGAATTCCGCACAGCAACCCTGCACAGCTAACTTTTGAGCCTTCGATCCTTTGGCAGCGTCATAGCACAACACGTTAAAAGATAACACTTGTTGTTTCCCTGCCTGGCGCTCGATGTTTAGGTAATAATACAAGGAGTGACTGGTTCGGTTTCATTACACTGCATGCGGGTATCCATTACAAACTGCAGTAAAGTGCTTCCCTTCCCCCCTCTCCCTCTCCCATCTACACCGTAACTTATAGTAATTGTAATATTGAAATATACATACCTTCACACGATAGTGGCCAAAATTACAACATGCGCTTCAACATCCACTAGCATTCCTTTGTTTCAGGATATTTGGTAAAGCATTTAAACCCTTTCGCAAAATGGAATCTTTTGCATGAACTCAAAAGTTGAACTTGTAAATACTCAGTTTGATTGAATTCCCGACATATTACAACACTTCCGCCCACCAAACATCGCCTCAGATGCAATATGTGTGCAGTCATACAAAAAACATGCACAATACAAATGTTATACTGCATTTACTATCGATATTGCAACATATGGTGACCAGCTAGCTGCGTGAGAGCGTTTATGAGCAGCCTGTGTCAGTGTACAGCCCCGCCTCTTACAATACCGAGACAGACAGTCAGTCCAGCAGAATGGTTGGAGGAGACATCTGACGAAACTAAAGGTATTTTCTTGATTTCTGAGATGGTATGTTGACTGGTGCTACATCATAGTGAAGTGGTATTTTCTTTGTTTCTGTGTCGAGGTATAATTTCTGTTTGTTGTATTGTACATTGTCTTCCTATTGGACAGCATTTTCTGACATTACTATTAGTGACACAGGACTGAAACTGCACCATCAGGTTCATGGTTACAGCTCTTGTTAACATGTATCAATTACAAATATCTGACTGTCTTGCAAACCATGACAGGTGCCTTTCATTGACAATATCTAGGTACATATATTATTCTCATGACATTATCTCAATAATCATGTTTATGTTTTCATAGCAACTGAGACTGTCTCCGTGGTCTAGTGGATAGAGCGACTGCCCAGACAGCAGAAGGTGTCTAGTCCGATCCCTGGCCACATCCTCGGCATAAAGGGGCTAAGACAAGAACTGGTCGGCTTGGAGTCAGTATATTGTGTCGGAGTGTGGTATTCATGTTAAATGGGCACGCGTGGCCCAGTCGTCTACGACGCCGTGATTCGCTGTGCACAGTTGCGTCCCTTGGGCACGTCAGAAACCTATGATTGTGGGTTCGAATCCCGGTTCGCCCCGATTATGTTTCTGGGATTGTCAGCACCATACCAATGCTCGTGGGTTTCACCGAAGTGGTAAACGTCTAAGGCCTGCATGACTTCGGGCTTTCCTCCCACATTAAGCTGACACGCCTGATATAACTGGAATAATGTTAAAAGCGATGTTACACCCAACTCACTCACTCACTTTTCATGTTAAAATGCGGCATGGTGTCTCAGTGGGCTAGCACTATGAAACCGGCATGAATTAAGTACAAGCAGCCACATATATACATAAACACATTCACATCCATTCTCTCTCTCTGTCTTACACACACACACACACACACACACACACACACACACACACACACACACACACACACACACACACACACACACACACACACACACACACACTTTACATATGCATCCAATAGACACACATGTGCACCTTAAGGGATTCGCTCAATAACGCAATAACGCGTTCCAAAACATAACTCTGTCTTTGTATTGTGGAGTGATTATTTGGGAACTGTGAAATGACACTGAGCTATTTTAAGGCATTAATATTTTCATCCACAAAGCTGTAACTCACGAACTGAGCTCTCACTTACTGACCGCCTTTATATGTTGTTCAGCATTGTTGTCATTGATAGGCATTGGAACGTGAACATGTGTCGGAGGAACATGAGCACAAACTACTTCATGTCTTTAAAGATCGTTGTATCATATCTACTCTATCATTTTAGATGGCAGTGCACCGACACTTGACAGACAATTTCTTGACGTGCAGCATCTGCATGGACGTCTTTGATGACCCCTGTACACTTGTGTGTTATCACACATTTTGTCGGAAATGTGTCGTTAGCTACACTGAAACCAGACCAGAAGCCATCAGTGCCAAGTCTCTCCTCTGTCCATTCTGTCGTAAGATGACCAAAGTAGTCAACTCAAACAGGCCAGTTGAACAGTGGGCACAGGAAGTGAAACCCAGCTTTTTGATTCAGGGTCTCTTGGATTCATTTAATCCCAAGCCAAAAGGTGTTTCCGAATAGGCTACCAGTGCTGAATCCTAACATTGCTACGTTCTTCATATTCCGGGTTTGTGAATTCCTTGTATGCACATTGAAAGGTTAAAGGTTATTTCGTAACATTATAGTTCTATTGTTGAAAAATAACTGACACATTTGTATGTATACTTGCAGATGCCCCGAAGTGCATCCTATAGCTATGTAGTGATGAAGGAGCGGCACCTCCAGCCACTGCTTGGTGTGCTGACTGTGACATCAGTCTTTGTGAGGGATGCCAGAAGGCTCACAGACGTATTCCTGCCACTCGTCACCATGACGTATCTGACCTGTCCACGGAGGTCAAAATTAACCAAAGACGCAAACCATTCTGTAAGCAACATCTAGATCAAAGCATGCAGTTCTACTGCAAAGATTGTAAGAAACTGCAATGTCAATCCTGTTGCATCCTGTATCACAGAAAGTGTGAGGCAATTCTACCGTTTGAATCTGTTATGCCAGAACTGATCAGCTGTGTTACAGGAGTTAAGGAAAGACTAGCGTCTCATTTACAAGCAACAGACAGTTTGCTAACAGATTTAGAAACCAAAAGGACTGAGGTAATAAAGAACAGAGTCACCGTTCAGTGTCAGATCCGATCCATAATCCAGACAGTCACAGAAGCCATAAAGAAGAAGAAAACGACAACTCCTGGACCAACTGGATGACGCCACTGAGAAACAGATCGAGCGACTGAAAACTGAAATGAAGTCTGAGGAGATGGCCAAGCAGATGATAAGTCATCACTCTGTGATGATAGACAGAGCTCTGGAGTCTGGAAGTGAAATGGACATCTATGAGATATACCTGTGGTGTGAGTCAGAGGAGTTTCCTACAGTATACGACCCAGATTCAGATATAAAATATGAACTGAGAGAGAAAGTATGTTTTATACATGATTGTGAAGAGATCTGTAACAATATACACGAGGTAAGCTTGGGTGAAATTGAGACCATATATGAAGATATGTTTGTTTCTACATCGACATCAGTTCTGCACGACACAGTGGACATACAAACAGAAGATGAGACAAGTTTACCTCATGTTTATGACGTGGCAGTGTTCAATGAAGGAGGTACAGACACCATAGTTGTAACTGATAATAACAACAAGTGCATCAAATCCTTCTACACACGCCATACTCAACCCTTTCAGAGTAAGCTCTCCGTTCAGAGCCCCCCTCGGCGGATTGCAAAACTTAATGCCCATCACATGGCAGCGACCCTTCCCGAGACAAGGGAGATAATAGTGATTGAAGTGAACCCTGACCTTGTTCTTCAATCATACATTTCAACAAGGAAGAAGTACTTTGGTCTGACAGCCCTGACTCCGACTACCCTGGCAGCAGGATCCGGGTCGCCTCCCTGTGTGGACATCCTGGACATGGCGTGGAATGTATTGAGGACGCTGAATCGTGTCACAGATGGGGGAATCCTTGTATCAGATCCTTTATTCCTATCTACCACCAGTCAAGGTTACATCCTGGTGTCATGCAGTCATGCCCCAAGAAGTCAAATGCTATGTATGACACCAAACGGAGATGTTGTGTTTAATTATGTACCTACAGGACAACACCGAGTAATGAATCCATGCGGCATCACTGGAACAAACACAGGCGACATGCTTGTTGTTGACGACATGTCAAACAAAGTGTTTCATTTGAGTAGTTCAGGCACTTGGTTGAGAGACGTACTGACGTCAAGCGATGGCATCACTTTCCCTTATGGCCTGTACTTTGATAAACGGAGGCGTCTGTACGTCACCAACCGCCACTGTGTGATGGTCTACAGGTTCAAAACACGCACCAAACCAAGAGGACCTGAAGGGTGATCTCGGTGAGTCAACAAGTGAATATATATCACTTTGAATAGTGTAGGCGTGTTTACTGCTACTTCCGTGGTCCGAGGGCTGCGACTGTGTTCGATCCTGATGATGAGGTGACAGATGATGATAGATGCACAGAGGACGCAAGCGCATTGTAATGAAAGAACATGTTTACGAAACATTTACTTTTGGAAGGTAAAATAAAATCATTTTCTTAAGCTGTGTCCCCCTTTGTATTGACATGTGTATAAAAACTATTGTATTTAAAGTGTTGTATATTTTGGCTTTGGCGTGATTCGATTACTATTTTGAGGTGATAAAACAAGGCTGACAGCATCGGTGTCAGTTAAATGTGAATGTATGCAGCCACGTTATACTGCGGCGTGGTATCTCAGTGGGCTAGAACTATAAAGCCGGCATTATGGGACGAGAATGTTATATTGGTGGGGGATGTGGGGGGCTGTGATGAGTACACGGATGGGTAGTAGATGGGTGAAGGAGGGGTAGACTAGTAGTTAGAGCGTTCACAGGTCCTAGATCCTAGTCCCCACATGGATTCAATGTATGAAGCCCATTTCTGGTGTCCCCCGTGGCCTAAAATCATAGTAACATAATGTTTACTGTTGTATGCGTGACTACTTCTTACTCTGCCAAACATTAAACAGCTGATTACGTCACTGTTGTTCCCGACAGCGAAAAACGGGTGAAAACTGAACCTTGTTCACATTAACACAAATAACACCTAACATCGAGTGTCTCAACAGAATTTGAGGAAAAGCAATAAACACAAACACCCCTGGTAAATCAAATGTGCAATTGAAGAAGGGACACTGTCATATGTAATTGGTGACTTTTTAATTGAAACATAGCTGCCATTTAGAGAAACTACAACCTGCTTCTACGCGGATGTGACACTTGCATCTGTAGGTTTAGCACCCTTAATCACAAGCATATTCTACGCCAAATAAACGGAAACATTTGCCATTTATATGTGTATGATCTGGGCAGAATATTATTTCGAGAACAGAAGCATATATGCTGTGTAGGATTCTGTTTACAATTCACGAAACATCCGTAACCGATCATATACCGTTTTACCGATTGAAGCAAACTTATTATTTACAGAAATAACCTTTGGGCAACGAGGAAGTACGTGTTATCTGTTCCCAGTGGTTTATAGTGAGTTCAGAGCCTTGGCGAGGTATTAATACTGACGATGAAACGGATGTTTATCTGTAAACTATTTTCCGTACTTCTGATAGATAACCATGGCATTCACGACTGTTTCATGGAATTATAAGTATATGTAAATTAACCAGCTTGTCAGCAGTGTTGTGATCGCTCATGTTTTCTAAACTTGTCCTTGGATGAATGAACAAAACAGCATCAATATATATGGAAACAATATGTATTTGTAAGTAACGGGGTCACATGAGATTTTAACCACCATTTCTCCCTTCACATCACACAGCGTTAACTGATGTTTGTTACAAAGACATGCGTCGCGTTCCACGAAAAAAACCAAGCGCTGAAACGATCCCTTTTCACATCGTACAACGGGTTCCATAGTGGTGTGGTGTGTGTAATGTATTCATTTAAACAAGAAAGACAATCTGTACAAAGGTAGTGACTGCACTTTTATTATGACAGAAATGTAAACACACGGATATGCATGTACATGTTAACAAATACACTTAACCTGACAGGAAGTGGTTAATGGTGTAATTATCAGAGTTTTATTGTATTTAAAAATATATTATTATATACTTCACGGGGCAATAAGGCTTTAGTTTCCAGCAGTCGCTTACATGCCAAAACAATGCGCGCCAATTGTTTGTTTATTGTTCGTCGCAGCACTCGGCAGTATTCCAGCTATATGATGGTGGGCTGTAATAAGTCCAGTCTGGTCAGATAGTCCATTGATTCATATCATGAGCATCGATCAATGTATTTGGGATACGATGACATACAATCAACCAGGTCACCTGATCCATTAAGTCGCCTCCAACAACTGGCACACATTGTTGCTGACCTTTGCTCTTGCCCGAAATCCGCCCTGCCCTCCCCTCCCCGCCAACATAAATATACACGTAATACATGCACACTCAGTCACGGAATATTTGTTTGACGGGTGACAATTCCAGTTCTATGCATTCATTGTTCACATACACCACATTGATGTCTCTCAGCTCCACATCAATGTCAGACACAAACATCGCGAACACCTGGTGTGGGTACAATAAAACTGCGCACCCCCCAACCACTGCCTCACATAATAGTTCTTAAACGTTCTTCTTTCTTTTAGGAAGCGGAATCGGTGCACTTAATTCTTGGTAAAATTAACGTATCGGTTTGATTAGTTTCAACAAAATCAGTTAATGCACTAACGTGTCACTGGATATTCTGGTTCATGGATCACTTTACAGACCGCCGTCTCACGATACGAGTACAGCTGTGCCGCGTCAGGGACAAATACTTCCGTTGTCATGAAAATTGTGTGATTGGCGAGTGCTACCGATAGGGCCGGACATGTTTACCCTTTTTGGCGAACACCTGGTGTCATCACTCAATATCACTGGTCCATCCATATAAATTTCATAACTATTTTGCACTTCACGTCACATTTTAATCTGTTTCGGCGGACAGTCTAGACTGATTGTTCTCTTGTATTGGAAATTCATATTTACATAAACTATTGTCACTCAGATGGTGAAGGATTCTATCAGGTACAATCGTTATGCATCCACATCTTAGGTGTTTCTTGTAAATCTGTAGATCTTCACACAGTCACCATCGGTGACATACAGGTGCTGACTTTCAGACAGGTAGAGACAATACGGAGATGTAATACCATCACGTGACGTCAACACCTCCCTCACAAACGTCCCAGAAGCGCTGAGTTGAATCACACGATTTGCAAAGTGATCTATAACCAGGATATGTCCTGTGTTGGTTTCAGTGATTCCACGAAGGGAAGGACTCTACTGTAAAGGCTTATCCCTGAACACAACCTCTCCATGAGGAGTCAGACAGAGGACTCTGCCGGCTCTGTATCCACAGCAAGACACGAGGATGTTACCCTGCCTGGTGGTACTGAGGAACCAAGGATCTGATACAAGTTTCCTTCCATCTGCGACAGGATCCAGGGTCCTCAACACATTCCCCGCCATGTCCAGGATGTCCACACAGAAAGGAGACACGGATCCTGCTGCCAGGGTAGTCGGTGTCAGGGATGTCAGACCCGCATACAACTTCCTTGTAGAGATGGATGATTGACGAACCAGCTCAGGCTTCACTTCTACTATTATTATTTCCTTAGTGTCAGGGAGAGTCACAGCCATTTTATTGTTGTTTAATTTTGCAATACGTCGAGGAGCGCTTTGTACCCCCAGCTTACTCTGACATGACTTCTTGTTTCTTTTGTAGAAGGATTTCACACACTTGTTGTCATAATCTGTGACAACTATGGTGTCTGTGTTGTCGACAACAAACACTGCCACGTCACGAGCTGCGGTTTTTTCCTGATCATCTTCTGCCTGTATGTCCACTGTGTCATACAGAACTGCTGTAAATGTAGAATCAAAAACATCTTCAAACATGATATCAATCACACCCAAGCATAGATCGTTTAGTTTCCCACACATCAGATGACGATCGTGTATGAAACAAGCCTTGCCCCCAGATACATCCTCCATACCTGACTCTGGGACAGACACAGTGGCTGCCTCCTCCGACTCACTCCACAGATACATCTCACAGATGTCCACGTCACTCTCAGACTCCAGAGCTCTGGCCAGCAACTCCGAGTGTTGACGAAGCATCTGCCTGGCCATCTCCTCACGCTTCATGTCTCCTTTCAGCTGTCCTCTTTGTTTCTCTGTGACGTTAACTATCTGTTCCAGGAGTTGTCTTTCCTTCTTCTTTATCAGGTCAATGGCAGTGTGGGTTGCTGATCGGACCTGAGACTGAAGGCTTGACTTGTTCTCATTAATTTCAGTACATTTTGCTTCCTTCTTTGCAAGGCGAGTGTTTGATGTTGCTAAATCAGACTCTAGTTTCTGTTTCACAGTTTGAAGAGTGTTTTGCATTTCAGGCAACACAGACTCAAGCGAGACAATGGACTCACACTTTCTGTGATACAAGATGCAACACGATTGACATTGTAGTTTCTTACAGTCCTTGCAGTAGAACTGCATCCTCTGATCTGGATGTTCTTTACACATAGGTTTGCGTCTTTTCTTTACCTTGACATCCCTTGACAAGTCAGATACCACATGGTGACGAGTGGCAGGGATACGTCTATGTGCCTTCAGGCATCCATCACAGAGTGAGACATTACATTCGACGCACCAAGCATTGGCTGGAGTTGTCTCCCCGTCCTCATCACATAAGTTGCAGTTATTTCCTGATAAGAAATATACACATGTATTATGCTGACATAGATAATATTTAAGGTGGTGTACAGAGAAATATAGAAAGTGCTTCACTTGAATAGGAAATATGAATATAAGAGCACCTATTTGCGTCATCTTTATAAAGACATTTATCCTTTCCTTTATCAGTACCCATTTAAGGGGCACCAGTGGCGCAGTCTTCTAAATCTGCATATCTGCATCCCTCAAATCCCAGAGTCGCCCTCGTTATGTTTCATGGTATGTCGGCACCATTCTTGTGCTCGTGGGTTTCACCAAAGTGACATTTGACATCGGATTGAGTTTTCCACACACATCAAACTGACACGCGATGCTATAACTGGAATACTCAAGTACACATTTCACGTTTAGGTTGGTTCGTTTTGGTTTTCCAACATAGAAAATACAGTACCTGTTTAAAAAATACAGTACCTATCAACTAGTAATAAAAAAACCTGCAAGCAGCATTCGTCTTTAAAGCTTAAAAGTCATTCTTGCGAAGACATGTTAGAATGTCACTAAAAATATGTGTCTATGAACTTGATAATAACAAAATTCTGTTGATACAACAATAAATTGAGAAATGTATTTTTGTGTTCATATGCAATAATAACGGCGTTGACATTACATGGCATTGTGACCAGACAAGGTCAATTACCTTACTTCAAAATCATGAGAATCAATAATTTGTCTCAGAAGCAAAGGAGAAAATATGTTAGAGGATTGACTGCAGGTCTAATAGTGTGCCACTGAAAGAAATGACAGAGATATTCAAGTAATGTTAGGACAAACACGAGTCTGTCACAGATGGG